CTCCCCCACTGATAGCTGGTGTGTGGGGAGCGTTCTGGCGCACTATGGCATCATCCAGGTGGATGCTGCACATTGGAGGTGGTGGAGGGGAGTCCCCATTACCTGTCCTGTAAAGCGCTTTGAGTGGAGTGTCCAGAAAAGAGCTATATAAGTGTAAGCAATAATTATTATTATAATAGATGGGCTGGTGGATGGATTTAATATTTGTGGCTCCCAGTTCGAGTTGCAATCTGTGTCGTGTCCTGCAGAGAGCCAAGCTCCCCTCGGCGAGGCCGCCTGACTTCCTGATCCTGGAAAGGCGGCGGCAGGAGGCGGCGAGGGGCCAAGTCCTGGCCTTCATGCAGCACCAGAGCCGCCGTGACCTGCAGACCCAGTGGGAGAGGGCCACGGACCGCCGCATCGCCCTGGGCACCGTCCAGAGACGAGTGCAGGAAGCCATGGAGCAGTACAAGCTGGGCATTGAGGACAGGAGGGAAAGGTTGGACCTGCTCAGGTTTTGCTTTGCCACTAACATGAAAAGAATCGATAAGACTGAAGAAACGTGTTGAAAGGTCTTAGAAGAAAATATGTGAATGAAATGGAAAAGTGACCCAAGTCAGGGAACTGTAATAAAGGATGTATAATCCATTTTTCCCAGGTCTGACAGCAGCTAAAAGCTTTTGGCCGAGACACCGAAGCTATCTTATATATCAGCCACGGGTGGTCAGTCCAGGTCATCAACGGGACACCATCACTTTGTAATGACTTGAAACACTCAGGTGTTTTGATCAGTAGATCAGCAACGGCCAGCTGTGTTTTTTGAGAGTTACAGGGTGTTAGCAACTTCATTTCCAAATGATCTTCACACGCTGAAGTAGTTTCAATAATGAAATTGTTCCATGTGTTGAGAAAGTGATGATTACAAATCCTCTGGGCTGTGGCTCTGCGGGGACCTGGGTTGGCCCATTCCTGCTAGATTCTTTGCAAGTAGACTACAGGACCAGATATACTATATATATGGCAGCAACCCTGTGGTGGTCATGTGGGGGTGCCGTGGTGATTCTTTGGGTACCCCTAATGTAAAGAAGACGATGGAGCCATGTATGCATTTTAAAAAAACATTGTTGCATGTCCAGGCTGCGTGACCTGCTGGAGACCGAGGAGAGAAATTACCTCAGAGAACTGGAGTCCAGGGAGGAGACCCTGTTGGAGCGGCAGGCAAAGATGCGGGAGAGGGCCAAGTTCCTGCGAGAGAAGAGAGAGAGCGAGAGACAAAAGCTGGTGGCTGAGAAACTGGATCAGAGGTTCCAGTAAGTCCACGCTGGGGTAGCCTGGATTAACCTCGGGTGTGCACCAAAACCGATGATGTCATTCCCTTCCCTCTTTCTTATTTAGTCATTGTTGTTTAGTTGTGCCACTGACCACAGTGTCAAGAGTGATTGTGACCCATATTAGTCCAATAATGTTAACGTTTTAGCATGGTAATCTGAACACCTTTCAATATAATGTGCTGCAGAAAATGCTCTGGGTGCATATTAATGTGATTTTGATGTGGGTATTGCAGGGGTAACAGAAGGATCATATACAGCGTTTGTGTCTGTTGCAGTGCTTCTTTTTTTCTGAACGACGTCATTTTATGAATGCCTTGTTTTTATACCCAGCACTTCGGTAGGTCAGAATCCAGGATTCTGAATGATTTACTATGCATTTGAACAAACAGAATGTGGCGAATGGTTATAATTTACAAATGTCTCTTTCTATCTAGGTACTATCGTAAATCCAAACCTGCTAACAAGTACTTCAGTACACAGATTCCTAACTGAGAAGTCTGTGTGTGTGAGGGGGGGTTCAGTGTGACCGCCAGTGAGCACAGTTTGGAGAAGCTAAATCTTAACTGTAAAAATACTTTGCTGTTTTTGAATGGGAAGAAATGAATTGATCTATTGTTTTACTGCCTACACTGGTGTGGGATTAGGAAGACAATAATGAATAACATGGTGGATAACAGAATCTGAATATTTTGTTACCCAGACACTCTCCCTTTGACTGACTGCTAAAGCTGATTATTGCACGCCAAGCGTAGAAAAGCTAACTGAAGCAAAATGGGGGCTTAAGGTTTAATGCTGCATAATGCAGAGGCTTCTATTAAAGAACACATCATCTTAAATCAGCCACGCAGTCCCTTTTGCACTTAAGCAATGAGTGATATAAAACAGTCTTAGTCAGCACACACAGAACTTGAAATTTCATTATAAGAACTCAGAACTGCAATTTTCTCTTTGCAAGAAGCTGGGCGCTTCTAAAACCATGCAGAACCTTCATAACTGTACTCTTATTGTATACATAAGTGTGCATTTATTTTGGTGGGAATTAGTTTGATGCCTGAGATGTGTGTAATCCAGTGTTTGGAATCAGCATGGTGTGTATTGGAATGAACACTAGGGGTTTGGGGTTCAGCCTGAGACCCTGCCCATGTGTGTGCGTCCAGAGAGCAGACGAGGGGGTTCGGGGTTCAGCCGGAGACCCTGCCCCTGTGTGTGTGTCATGGGGGCAGACAAGGGGGTGATTGGCCTGAGACCCTGCCCCTGTGTGTGTGTCCTGGGGGCAGACAAGGGGGTGATTGGCCTGAGACCCTGCCCCTGTGTGTGTGTGTCCTGGGGGCAGACGAGGGGGTAATTGGCCTGAGACCCTGCCCCTGTGTGTGTGTGTCCTGG